TTCCGCTCTCTCATTTGGTGGGAGATTCTCTTTTGTTGATCACTTGCCAGGAAGAGACGTGGACGCCTCCCTCACCGGTCTGAGCTTGCCAACAACTTCCTGGAAGATACCTTGCACCGTCGTCAGCAGCTGCTTTCCATTGAATTTCTGCGGACTCTTTAGACTTGAAAGTTCTGGGAGGGTGTTGAGTCTTGCCACTTAGTATTTGGTGCCTTTTGTCTTGGAGCAAGACCTCTTGCTTGTTCTCGGCCCATGCAATTCATAGCCTTGCGGTCACATGCCAATATAGGCTGCCTCCGCCTCAGTACCTCAGAGACAATGTTGCACAGCATCGTAGCCTCTGACGATCCGTAGACAAAGCGGACGCAAAGAGAGCCTGCGTGTCCGCCCTCGGAGCTCGGTGGCGTAGCGTGGACTGATATGCTGCACAGGGCAAGCGTGGTGTGCTGCATCACACCCTGCTTCACTATGAACCAGCTGACCACATATGCAGCCTTCACACCATATCCAAATGTAGGGCGTCTAGGCCGTGCCCGTCACATCCTCCTAAATGGCCACCGACCCAATCACCTCCTGACACTTTTCGTTCTGAGGCTCAAAACGCACCTTCGCGTCTGGCCCAGCAGATGTGCGACCCTAGGAACGTTCTTTTACTGGCCGCTCCATACTACCTGCTATACCTGCAGATTCTTGTACCCCGCGAGCCAATTCCCTGTTGATATGCCCATAGGTTAAAGCGGTGCGTGTGACGAGGCACAGCCAGTGCCAGGATAAATACAGTGAGGTAGGTAGGTCAACTGGACCAGAGGACAGCCCCGGACTCAGCACCGCACCGCCCGGGCCGTTGTTTGCCTTGCACCGCCCGCGCCTAGCAGCCTTTTCTCCCCTTCTTGGCTTCCTCCAGCGCCCGTCTTTGACGCCTCATAGTTCCCCGCGGTTCACGATACATAGACCTGCGCAATGGTTACAGAGTACATCACGCGGTATAATTTGCCTCTTCCCGCGTTGAGGGAATACCTGGAAGCCAATTTCCAATTGATATCCATACGGGTGAGTGTGCTCAATTCGCATGCAGGGGTGGCGTTTCACGGAAGATAACAGTGTGCGCTACCTTCAGGAAGGAGATAATGATATCTACGTCGTGGAACTAGACAAATGTTTGACAAAGGTACTCTATGGCTGCATTTCGCACCTACCGTAGCTGATCTCGATGCCTCCGACGTACTAATGCTCTGCCTGTCTTCAGGATGACGAGAAAAGTATTGAGAAGCTCAGGATCACGCGGGACGCCGACTAGCAGGGAATCTGAAGTGTGTAGCTATAACGATAGGGCTGCGGAAAAGGCTCCTGGCAGGGTGTCGCTCTATCACATGGGCTTACGGCAAGTTGTACTTGCAGCAATAATGTTAGCCACCGAAGACAGCAACAAATGACGAGATTTGAAATGGCCCCGCAGAATTGCAGCAGAATTCGAAAGCTGTAGCCACAGCCCCAGTTCGCCCCTGAAATGGTGAGCTGAGAGTCCATACCCAGCCCTCAGCTTGTGGATATATTATACTTGGGTGCCATACAAGAAGGCTGGTCAACGTCCTCCGAGGACCGCCACTTGCCTGCCCCTTTGCACAGCCACGCAAACTTTTCGTCCTGACCGAGTTTCATCTCACATCCATTAAGTGTCTACCGTGGGTCAACTCACCCCTGTCCGGAATCCTGAACCCTCACCGGTACCCCCTTTAAGGCGAGGCTTCGTAAAAGGCTGAATCACCGGTGGTTGTTTAATGATATCCAATGCTCGATATACAATCGGACACAAATCAGGACTGGCGACAACTTAGAAATTCCTGAACGTAGCTCATTCTGAAGACTTGTCGACAAAACTTCGTTAACTACTTTATCCTACTCAGCAGAAAACACTAGGCGACAAATGTCTTCCAGCATGTTAGACAGTCTGTTAGTGGCGTGTGAAAACTACGAAACCTATCCAGAAAGCCTATTGCAACAGCAGACCGTTCGGGAAGTTCTCACGGTTCATCGGAATCGCCTCAGAGAACACGAGGCTCGGCTGTTCAGTAATCGTGCGCCTCTCCTTACTTTCTGGGAAGCAGAACCAGGTGCTGAAGGTATTGTGATGAGAACTGTGTTCGTGTGGATTTCTGCACATGAGGCTGACACGAAGACAGAATATACCAGAACAATCATCAGAGACCTGACGTCTTTGAAGTCTCACCTCGGACCTCATCTACAACTCAGGCAGAAGGACCCCCGAAGCTCCTATGTGTAAGAGTGATCTGTGATCGAATCAAACAAGCGGCGAGACAATGTGTGGCTAATTTCCCAAGTTTTATAACTGCCGAGAATTCCAAAAGCCCGATGTATATATCGGCTGCTATGTTCCGATATCTTTGCACATATTTTCAAATCCCGCCATGTTTCCTTGACATCTTCCTTTCATTGGGGAAGCCGGAAAGCAGTCGCAACTCTCATTCTGTGGGCTTCTTGGAGGATCATCAGAGCAAGCCAACAAAGATTGAGTCTCGCCGTGCTGCACTAGAGCTAGGCAGATCGGGGTGGACTTTGCGTCACTGCTACAAAGTTCAAGGCGTGGAAAGATCCATGGAGAGCGGACTGTGGGCCTTGAGGCCAACATCAGCATTTCATTCTTTCGACTTGGAGACTGGACGGAGCTTTTGGTTCACAATCAAAGCTGACAAAACTATTCGCGAAAGAATCATAGATGGAGCTAAGACCTTTGACGCCTTGCACCCTACCAATCTTGCAGACGTCGAGGGAGGCTTCAAATCTTCGCTCGCAACCCATTTACTCCATCTGGAATGGTGTACGGAAGGCTGGAGGTGGTACGTTGACGAAAAAGAGGCCGGAATTGAAAAGATCCTCAGGCGAGTCAAGTCAGCTCCTGTTGAGCAGTCACGCCGTACGGAGCTCACCAACCACCAGGTGGCTGTCTTTTCAGACGAAGCCGCGCCGATACCTGGAAAGCCTCTTGTTCGAACATCAACACTGTCTCGTGTTGGCTCGAAGATCACACACACACTCCGACAAGTAAGCTGGGCTCCGAACGATCCAGGTGATGAAGGGACGCACCCCAAGCTTAGGCGTGGTAACACCCGCGTGGAGGTGAAGCAAGCAATAGAGGAACATGAAGCTCTGGCGCAGAGTCTGGAGAAGATGAATGAAGTTATGAGATTATTCTCCCTGTCAGAGCTGCAGAGGCTCACGTCAAGCGTCTTTGAGCTTCAGGAAGCCAAACTTGCGATGACCCTCAACATCGAAGTTATGAACGGGTTGAAAGAGACTTACGAGTGTCTTTTGAGCTCGACAGACTGCCCCGAAGTCATCATTTTGGAATGCGGCAGAAACATCTCCGACTTCAAGCGGCGCATCACAGGGCTTCAGAGAATGATGACTGTAGAGTGTCTTCGCGTCGATACGTTGATCGACCACTTAAGCGAAGCAAAAAACTTGGTGAGTGACAGCATCGCAAACAACAGAGACCCAAGGAATGCTCATTAGTTCGCAGTATGATGCTATACTTCAGTTTCGCAACACCGAAATCAACCGGCAAAATGCCATCAATGCTCGCATTTCAGCATTGAGGGTGGAGACGGTAACTGACGACATGCATGACATAGCCAAGAAGACGGAGAGAGACACATCATCGATGCACGTCATTACGTTCTTCACACTGGTGTTTTTGCCCGGTACCTTCCTCGGTGTAAGACATGCTTTGTCCTGTCTGCGGAAGCCGAGCGAGGACGTTCTAACGTTGTATCAGACTTTCTTCAGCACGCCAATATTTGATGCTGAGGAAGAGCACTGGAAAGTTGATCATGAGCTTCTAAGGTTGTTCTGGACGATATGCGCCCCCATGATGGTGCTGACTATCATTTGCTGGTGGCTGTACATGATGATCGTGGGGAGGCGCGTCAGACAGCGGTTGCAAGCTCAACTTGGAACAAAAGCGCAAGCAGGGAACAAAGTATAACCCCGAAGTTTACTAGAAATGACGCGAGGGCTGGCGTTAAGAGAAAGGCGTATTACGACCCTTTGAGTGAAGATTCACGTGCTAGATAAGTGAGCAGGTCTCGGCGAGAAACGCAGGCTGTTGAATTGGATTTACAGAATGCGCTGTTGCGACTTTGCTTCCAACTGCGTGACTCAATCTTCGTGATCGTCTTGAAACACACTCTTAGTGCCTCCCTTGCTCAACGCCTGATACTGGATAAGAACGATCAACATACGAGTGCCCGTGCCATTTATCCTGCTGTGAAGTCACCTTCATTACCTTTCATTACCTGACTCCGCAACAAAGAAGCGGGGTTGAGGTCGCCGCCAAGGGTTGTGGGATACCGAAGGCCAAGGCTACAGCACTGTCCGAGTTGGCCGAACTCCAGCGTTGCCGTCTACGTACCTTGCACCCCACCGTCGTTATAAGAAATGGCTTGCCAGGATTCTGGCGCACTCCGGGCGGGGGGCGGGGGCGGTCGTCCGCCTACCCACCTCGACACGTCCAGTAAGGCAAAGGCACTATACATTCTTCTCGGCGCTGGCCAGTGACAGCCCTCACTGGAACCCATAAACCTGCACGGTCAGCATGCATGAGGTCCCTAGGTAGATAGGTATTGTCAGTTTGCAAGTAGCTACTAATACCAAGGTGTGGTTGCCTTACGAGCAAGCTATTGAATCAGCTGGCGGTCCCCCTAAGCTTGGCTGTACTGGTTCGCGCACCACATACGCCATAAGGTTGGATACCTGCCCAACTGGGAAAAAAAGAAGTACAAGAGGTGGTAATTTCCAGCCTCTTTGCCATATCGAATCATCTACTTCTTGTGATCCATTTCCTGTTCAGCCTTCCTAAGACGCCAGCGACGACACGAGAACATTCGCTCAAAGCCTTTCCATTGGTCGCTAATCAAGACAGCCAGCCTTCTGCTCTTCTACGCCAGAGCGCTGGCCTCGAAATTGTCGGCATCGCAGATACCTGTCTCATCAGCTCCGAGGCTCTGCCTAGACTCGGTACCTTGGCCAAATTTCTCGACCTTGTATTTCTACTTGCCATCCCCGTCCCGAAGTCCGCAGTTGGCGCTTTAAACTGGATTACATCCTCGCCCTGTGAGAACCCACGACCGCAAGTTGGTGGGACGGCTGCATCTGAGATGGAATCATCATCAGGAAGACCCGCCGAAAGCAGTTTTGGGCCCTTCGAGGCATATTACCACGACTTTCGTCGCTTTCTAGAAGCGCACAACTTGGCTGGCCAAAACTGTCTAAAGAATAAAGCCAAATATGTGCCGTACGACAAGTTGAAAGAATATTGGACGCACATTCGTGTCACGAAAGTCCTGCAGGCTGTTCATTCGCTCAAGCTCACAGCTCCTCCCATAAGGCACAACTATATTCGAACTTTATCAATTTTTGTTTCCATCTCAGAAGGCAACCCGCAGTATCTGCACTGGCTGTACGATTTTCACCGCCTCGAACTCAACGACCACAACCTACCTTTCCGCGAGGCGCCAACCAAGTTGGGACGTGGGGTCCATACTTTCTGGAACAAGTTTGACGAACACCAGTGGGAGTTTGTCCCCTTAACCCTCGACTCTGGCCAATGTTATGATCGTTTTCTCGACCCCAGAACTATCCTACCAGGTCGCCGCCTTGAACCGCGTGGAACAGAGAGGAACGGAAATGGTCCAGTCAAAATTACCCCCTCGACTCACCCTCGTGCGCGGGCTGGCACGGAACTGATCCCGCTCCAAGTTGATGAACCTACAGCCCGATCATTATTTCTTGCCAAATCAGTATAGCCATGTCTTTTATTTCTCAGTGCTACTTTATCGAAGCATTGCTAACATCGAGAGTAGGCGCAGCGGACCGTGATGCTCAAGTCTTTTGACACTGAAGCATCCTACAGGAATGAGTTAAACGCGCTTTCGCACCATGAACAGAGCCACACCAATGCCGGGACCAAAGCACACATCCTCAGGTTCTTCGGGTCTTTTTGGTACCAGTCTAGTGTGAACAGCGCCACGAAATGCGTCTATAACATCATAATAGAGTACGCAGATCGTGGTACGCTCAGAGACATATTCTTGAACAATAGACCGCCGCGCAGATCAGAAGATATTGCAGCCTTCTGGAAGTCCATGTTCAACGTCCTCATTAGCCTACACAGAATTCATTCAAGTTCAAAAGAAGAAGAAGACAAACTCAGAACGTAAGACGCTTTCCCCTCATCCGCCACAGCACTGTTGGCTCTTCCTCCAGCTACTCATGTTGTACTGTTGGCCATCAAGGCACTTACGTGGAATTTCATCAAGTGTGCATCAAGATCTCAAGCCGTCGAATATTTTTATCTTCTCAATCGAGGATGAACCTGGAAGGTACAACTTTCGCGCAAAAGTGGGAGATTTTGACCGCAGTCACACAAATGCAATGTCTCCCGATAACCAGAACACACCACCCGCCCCATACCTTGGTGGTACGAGCACATACTGTCCGTCATCCTCCTGCTCCGCCGCTCTGGTCACTAGTGTTGATATTCTGACCAGCTATGCAGGCCCTCCAGACCTTTACTTGAGCAGCGAAATGTCTCATCATATAAATTCTAGCGCCGACATCTGGGCAATTTCCTGCATCCTCCTCGAAACGGCACTTTGGATCGTCGGAGGTAATGAGGAGCGTCTTGACTTTGCCGCCCGGCGGCGGGCACAAACTTGCGCAAGAAATGAAGGCAATGGGAGAGGCGACTGTTTCCATGACGGTAACCAGGTATTGGATTGCGTCAGAGACGTCCGCCAGCTTGCGGAAGATGAAGGTCGGAAGCACGATGGCGTCACTTCGCTCATTGTCGATCATGTTCTCACACATGTTCTCGAAAAGCATAAGTCCGAAGAGTGGCCTGATGCCAGAAGTCTACTGGCGAGTCTAGAGACAAAAGTCGACAAGAGTGCTTCCTCGCACCCAAGCACAAAACCTTTGCCTACAATAGGACCCCAAACACCAAAACGTTCACTTGACGTGAATAGACATGGCACAGCACCATTATCACCGTCGCCAAGTCCGCAAAACATTTTTTCCAAGGAGGACAACACACAAAAGGTTATCCCACGTCAAAGTTCGGAAGACGAAGCACAACCTTTCGGCTCGATGGCAAGATCGTCAGGAATTGGCGCCAGCAAGGGGATCGGCATGGAAGGTGTCATTGGGAACCGGTCCATAACCACGGAACCACGGCCAGGACTCCATAACTATCAAGAGGAACATGGGATTGCGTCAGATCCAGGCCCTAGGTCCGGCAATACACAAGTGGCGGACAGGTCAGGCATGGCTCCGATTGCAGAAAACATCCGTTCACCTCCAAGGACCACGGCAAGATCACCGCTACCAATGGTTACCATCCAGCAATTGAGACTACATAGACACCAACCGCCCCGCGCAGACGTTCAGATTTGCCCGGAAAGTCCGATGCCATGAATCTTCTTAAGCGAAGGGAGCACGTAAAGAATCTCTCAATATCGTTCCTAAACGTGACAAGCCTCTGCTGACGATGTCGAAGATATTTCTCATCGACAATTCTCGATCGATGCAGAGGCGAAAGCATGAAAGTTATCGATTTCTTTGAAGATCTGGCGTTCCTGCTCCAAGAGGCGGACAATAATGGTCTAGACGTCATGTTGACGACCAGCCCTGAAAAGAGCGCTTCAACAGCAAGAATCTAAGCAAGTTGAGGGATACGTGGAAACGAACTTTCATCATGGTAAGAATACGTCGTGTCACATGGAGAATTCACTTGACACGGTCATCAACTTCGTGTCGGAGAGTTCTGCGTGAGCACAACTGCGTCTCGACTCATCTGGAGCGCAACGTCCGTCAGCATCTTCATCATGAGGGCCAACATCCCGCGTGTGGCGTGGATCGGTCGCAGGCGGCAACCTTGTGAACATCATGAGAACAAATGGGTCACCTCGTACTCAGGTGGCTATCCAATTTATTCGGTTCGGGAAAAACGCGGATGCGATCAAAAGGCTTGACTATCTTGATGGCGATGCGGCTGGCGCCAACAGAAGAGGAAGGTACGACGACTTAGAGCTTCCATCCATGGCTGACTTGAGCCATCAGACCATGCTCAGACTGGGAACGCTTCCGCTGACGCGGTGACAGATTTGACATTGTGGACCACAAGGCAAGCACAGACTCTGTGTGGTCCATCCTCATCGGCCCATTGGACGAAGGCAATGATATGGAAGTGAGTTCTCCTTGAGTACAAAGGGTGCCCTGGCTTGAAGAGTAGAACCAATTTATGAGGAATAGCCTATGGTTCTTTATGGATACTACACGTTCGGCAGGTTAGACTAAGTGTTTTCCATGTCCGACCACCACTTTCTAGTCAAGGCTTCGTCTTGTCAAAGGCTCTCAGACCGGTCGCTTCCATCCTGGTTCTGTCCTGTCTGGTCCCAGGCCCTTGCCCCCAAAGGGTTATATAGTGTATGGCGTCTAGTTCATGCCCGTCAGTCACGTCGCATTATCCCCCAGAAAGCGCGACTAGTTTCTTT